AGCTCCCAGTCTCTCCTTTTTTTATTTTTATTCTGGGGTTTATTTACCTTCTATAATTGAAACTTTGTTGCTTTCAGTGGAGCTCAGAGCCGGGTTATGGCAGGCAGGGAGCCTTGGCTGCCTCCTGCTCACTCCAGCTCCGTGGCTGCCAGCTGCCATCTTGGTTGGGTTAATTTGCATATAGTCGCTCTGATTGGCTGGTGGGCATGGTTTAAGGCATGTTTGTCTTTTATAGTATAGGATGGCTTCCTAGTATGCTGCAAAATTTATTAATGGTATATTTTATCATTATGAATGTGAAACATGGGGTTCAGGGTGCAGATTCTTCCGTGGGTCCTTGCCCACAAAGTTTGAAGAATAATAAACTCGTGGACTGAAAGGCTTCTTTAATAAAAATGTGGAAGTTTATTGGAAGCATATACAAACTTTCCCAAGTAAGGGGTCTCCAAATGGGACCCCCAAATGCAGAAAAAACCTGCTCTCTTTCTCTCTAATGGAAAAAATAAAAAATCCAAAATCTGTCTGAGTCTCTTTGTCTCCAGGTTTTGAAAGGCTGTAGTTCTTTGTCTATCTATGTTCCCTTCTAATTGCACCCCTTCCCCAGTTTACGACCCTATGCTTTCTTAATTGGTTCCTCTTTTGCAGGATATCAGTTTCAAAGATTAAAGCCCACCCAGTGCCTCCTTCTTTCTCTCCCCCTTATCTTGCTACATTCCTTTATTCTCTGTGAAAATATCTTCCCCTCTTCCTGGTACCTTGTGACCTTTCTTTATATTCTGTGAATGTATGTCTTCCTTCCTCTCCCCCCTTATCCTGTGACATTTCTTTATCCTCTGTACAACTAAGGATAAGCATTTTGGCATCTTGGAGCTATTTCTGCCCTTCACATATGCATTCCTCCCACATGAACCCTCTCTTTTTTAAAATTTCTTTATTGGTTAAGGTATTACATATGTGTCCTTTATCCCTGTTACCCCCGTAGTGCCCCCCACCCCCCCGACTCATGCCCTCACCTCCTGTTGTCTGTGTATCCATTGATCCATTGGTTAGGCTTATATGCATGCCTACAAATCCTTTGGTTGATCTCTCCCCCTTCTTCTCTAAGACTCACTATCCTATTTCTAAAATCCCTTCTAAAGTGCTTGGATTTAAGCATATTTGAAATATTTTAATTCCTTCCAGTCATTAACCTTGTTTATGATCAAATTATTTTTGTCCATTTGGAGCCTATGCAAGTTGGTTCTAGAGTTCTTTCTCAGTGATCCTAGTGGAAATTAATATCATCCCTGTTTTCTGGTATAAGGACTATGAAACACCACCAATAAAGTAATCTTACGAAATATAAAAATAAATGGAACCTGAATCAGATAAAGCCACTAAATAGATCTTTAATTTAAAGAAAATACAGGAAATGGGGAAGCACCTTTTAATGATATATTATAATTAGGAAAATCCAGAAAGTGTGACAAAACAATTTTGTTTTACTTAGTAAATTTGATTTCAAGTAGTGAAAAAGATAAACTGTCTAGTCATTAGGGAAACATTAAAGCAACGAGATCCTGTTGCACACATGTTAGCATGCCTCAAAAACTGGATAATACCGTGGATGTGGAGCAATAGGAAAATAACATATTCTCCTAATGGGAATGCAAAACTTCAGAGCCGTTTTGGAATATGACACTTAAACAAAGTATTCTTCACATAATCCAGTAATTTCTATGTGCCATAGAAGAAAGAAAGCATGGGTTCCTATAAGAATCTGTAAATGCTATATTGCAGTGGCTTTACTTATAATTCTCTAACTGAAAATAGCCCATATGTCTATCAAATAGGAAATGCCATGCAGTAGAATACTTCTCAGCAATAAAAAGGAACTTAACTATTGATACAGCAACATAGATGAATCTCAAATACACTATGCTAACATTAAAAAAAAACAACTCAAAGACTATCTGCTATTTGATTTCATTCATTTGACATTTTGGGAAAGTCAGAACCATTGGCGCAGAAATCAGATGAGTGGTTGCCAAGGGCTTGGTGGGGAAGAGACTCACTATAAAGCAGTGGTTCTCAACCTCCCTAATGCCGCCACCTTTTAATACGGTTCCTCATGTTGAGGTGTTCTACCTCCTTAATGCCACCACCTTTTAATACGGTTCCTCATGTTGTGGTGACCCCCAATTTCATTGTTACAAATTGAACATAATTAAAGCACAGTGAATAATCTCAAAAACAATATGTAATTATGTATGTGTTCTCCGATGGTCTTAGGCGACCCCTGTGAAAGGGTCGTTCGACCCCCAAAGGGGTCGTGACCCACAGGTTGAGAACCGCTGCTATAAAAGATCACAAACGAGATTTTGGAGGTCATGAGTGTATTCTATAGTTTGATTATAGAGTTGGTTATATAGATGTAGGGGTTTTTCTTAATTCATAGAAATGTACATTTAAAATGGGTGAACTTTATTAGTAGTACATCATGCCTCAATAAATCTAACTAAAAATATAATAGGAAAAGCTATTGATTAAAAAAACACTTTAAAAGGAATGTCCATTCACTATAATTTATAGTACTTATTAGATATTGATTTTTTGTTAAAGAAGTTGAGAAACTAAGAATATTAAACACTAGCTACTTGATGACATTAAGGGATTACTACTTTCAGTACTTTATTAAGATCTTGTAGTTATATATAAAATAAATATGGTAGAAATAATACTGAAATTTTTACACATTAAATTATATGATTATGGAATTTTCTTCAAAGAAATCTTGGAGTGGGAGAATAATAAACATGAAATAAGATTGGCCATGCTGGTAATCATTGAAGCCGAATGATGACTACATGTGGGTCCAATGTACTGTTTTCTCTACATGTTAAAATATGTTTGAGATTTTCCACAGTAAAAATGAACTAAGGAATTATAGCTCAGTTTTATAAAAGTTTAGTAAATAGATTTTAATAGTACTGAAAGAATATTCTGCAATGGATAGAGTTTATCCCAGAAATTTAAACATGGCTTTATATTTTAAATCAATGTATCATAGTGATTCAAATAAGAAAAATGACAAAATGTTTACAATAGACACTAAACAGCAGATGCCAAGTAACGTACCCCTAATAGTAATTTTTTAAACTACAAAAAGGCAACAAATTCCACTTTCTTAACTAAATGAAGACTAAAAGTCATAATGATTTGATAAAGCATTGTTTCTCAAAGTGTGGTCCATGGACTACTGGTGTCTGGGGGAATTGGAGGTAGTAAGTACTTAAAAATAATGATCTGCTGAATCATGGACCCCAAGCATTTACCGGCTGTAAACTCTGCAGATTCCTCCCCAGTTAATCTTTGTTGCTTTCCTCCCTCATTTCTGTCCTTCTTCTTCCCTGGAAATAATTCCCACCCCTGGTCCCTGTTCCAGCAACTGAGAACTGAGTTATAGCTCAGCTATTTTATAGAAGATATTCTAAAAGAAAAACAAATATTTGTTGCTTATCACATCTGATGAAGACCCCTCATCCTATCCCAGCTCAAATAGCATCTCCTTTGTTAAATCCTCGGAGACTTGCCCTGCCAGCCTTAGCCTACTTACTTGCTAGGCTATCATATAGTCAACCGTTTAGTTTTGAATTTAACAGATTATATTTTAATTATTTGTTTGCATATTTGCCATCAGATTATGAGTTACTTTTGGTCAGGAAAATGATGTGTGGTTTTTATTTTTGTTTTTGCCTCCCTCAATAGTAAATATACTATCTGGCAAATACAGTAACAATGCAATCTATGCTTTAAAGATCTCGGATTTATTCATAAGAATTGTTTCCATACTTTGCCAATAATATATAAGGGCATTTAATAACAGAAAGAAAATAAAGAAGCCTGCTTTAGTACAGTCTTTTTTTAATGTGGTATAGAAGGACCATATATGAAAGGAGAGAGAAGCAAAGGTGGTTATTTTATCAATTTTAGAAGATGGCTATTTTATTTAAAAATTTTTTAAATTAAAACTTTATTGTTGAAAGTATTACATATGTCCCCTTTCCCCCCCATTGTCCTTTTCTAGGACCTTCTGCCCCAGGCTTTCACCACAATATTGTGTGTTCATGGGTTATGCATATGCTAGTGGCCCGGTGCACGAAATTCATGCGGGCGGGGGTGTCCCTCAGCTCGGCCTGAATCCTCTCCAATCTGGGACCCCTTGGGGGATGTCCGACTGCCGGTTTAGGCTCATCTGCCTGCCAGCCTGCTCTCCCCCAGCTGCCCCAACCCACTGGCCTTTTCACCCCAAGCTGCCTCCCATTGCTGGCCTGCTTGTCCCCAACTGCCCCCGCTGCTGGCCTGATCACCATCAACTGCCCCTCTGCCGCCTGCTCACCGCCTACTGCCCTCCTGCTGGCCTGCTTGTCCCCAACTGACCCCCCTCACCTGCCTGCTCACGCCCAACTGTCCCCCCTGCCAGCATGCTTGCCCCAAATTGCCCCTCCTGCTGGCCTGCTTGTCCCCAACTGCCCCCCCTGCTGGCCTGATTGCCCCCAACTGCCCTCCCCTTACTGCCTCTGCCTTGGCCCTGCCACTATGGCTTTGGGCGGCGGCCACGGAGCCAGTTGGGGTGACCAAGGAATCCAAGCCTCGGCGACCAAGGAAGCCAAGCCTCCCGTGCCCACTCTCTGGCTGGCTTGGCTCTGTGGCTCTGGCTGGCACTGCCATCTTTGTCTAGAAGTGATGGTTAATTTGCATATTACTCTTTTATTGTTCTATGCTTCTATGTGGAAGACAGCGATTAAGAATGACTTTGTTATTAAATTGTTTCATTTAGCATTGTTATACACAAATTACATATTTTAAAATTAACTTATAACCACCTCATGTATTTTATCATTACTTATAAATACTTACTATATATAAATAATTTAAACTAATACAACTTACTAAAGCTAATGTAGGGAGTAATAGTAAGATTTGAGATATTTATGCATTTTTTGTTTATTTAATTGCAGTTGTGTTGCTTGATACAACAACTGTGCTGGGAGAGCTAGGATGGAAAACATATCCATTAAATGGGGTAAGTTTGAATATCTTTTAAAAATTGTCATCCTTGTTAGATATTTAGGATCTGTTGTAATATGAAAGAATGGTGGATTTTGGACTCTATGTGGCATACATTTTAGCATATAACTTAAATCACATAGAAAAGATTAAATTACAATTAGAAGTGGGAATAATATGTAAAACATATTTGTTTCTTCTAAATTAGTAACTGTTCTTTAACATAGTGTTTATACAGAATAATATTAGAATATTTCATAAATATTTTCTCTAGAAATAAATTTCTATTAGTATATTTAAGACACTTTTCTGTATATATGTTATGAAGTTTGGTAACCTCAGTGAGTATTTGTGCATAAACCAATTTTAAATTACCATAACATAAGTGGACTTCACAGATGTTCACAATTTGGTTTTTATTAGAAGCTATGAGTCTACTGTATTTTTTGAAGTTGGCAAAAAGATACATTATAATTAGGTGTTGTTGTTTTTTTTTTTTAATCTAGGAGTAGTTCCTTTTGAAATACCTATAAGGATGCATAATTTACAAAGTACAGTTTTTCAGGTATTAACATTATTTTAGTTTAGTTTGTACTTGATTTTTATGTTTTGATGTATTTTGCATTATTTTCGCATTGCAATATGTTTCTACATTTTTATTTTAAGCTAAAATAAAAGTGTGGTTTGTGAAGCTTTGTGCATTGTTAGTTTTGTCTGTTTAAACAACTTCAATAATGGAGGTGGTCAACTGTTTTCAGGTATAGTTAGGTTAACTTTTCTTTCTTTTCTTAAAATTTGTTTTTTTTCTCATTTATCACATTCTTGATCATTTTACATTGCTTCTTCCATTACATCTACAAATTTAAATCTGAAAGGAGAAGTTGACCCAAACAGGTTTTCTTATTTTAGAATTATTCAAATATTGCTGCTTGAATTTGACTTTTTATACCAACAGTTATTCAACAGTTAATTATTAAACATGTGTATTTTCATCTAAAAATTCATATGAAGAGTTAAATCTTCCTGTTTTTGATTAACAGGCTGTTTTTTTATTTGTTTTATAGACTGATTTTATTTATTTTTTCTGAAAATTTCTTTTTATTTCTGCGAGCTCTTTATCAAATCATTTATGAGAAATATATTTTTAAATTAAGATTATGCTTCAACCTTCATTATTTTCTTTCCATTAAAATGAATAAACACCAGAATGTCTTGTGTATATCAAGTATGTCACATTTATCACAGTTACTTTCAAGAAGTAAATTAAATTTTTTTCCTAGAAACCTTCTAAGATGATAAATATCTCTGTATCAGTTCTTATACAGAATAACCTCTAAGAACTTATAGGTAATTAATGTAGAAGCCCTAATTTTTATTTTCTGGGAAAAAAAGACCCCCCCAAAAAACCCCACATGCATTAGAGATCCTATTATTACTGTCCTCATATAGTCATAGCTGAAGAATCATGTGGGGATCAGGAGTTATACCCCTGCTCTAGTGATTGTGTTTGGCTTAGTCAGTCCACATTTCTGAGCAAACTGGTAACTAGGACACAGGACTTACAGAGTTACAAATACACTTACTGATATCATTCTTGTGATGATTTTATCATAGATATTACTTCATAGTTTTCTATTTGCCAGTTACTGCACTAAGAAATTTACATTTTATTTTCACAGTGGCCCTATAGTGAATGATGGTCTTTAATTAAAAATAAGCTATTTCTGACTCTGAGGCCTGTATCTTTCTTTACCTTGGCAAGGCTACCAGAGAGGAACATCGGCAACTTCATGAAAGGCCAAATATTTATTTGCGGTATTTGTGAAATTGATTTAGATTTCTTTTCTCTCCTTGATAAATAAACTGTTACCCTGAGATGTGCATTTTGAACACCAGCCAAGGATCAGTAAGAGGAAAGAGAGAAAGAAGAGGTGAAGGAGATACAATAGGGAAAAAAATATGATAGCATAAGGAGGAAAAGATGGTTAAATTTTATTGAGCATTTACCATATGGTAGGCTTTGTTCAAAGCATGTTACATCACTTACATAAATCATATAAATCAAGTACAGATTTTCCACTATTGAAAGATGTAGAAATTAAGACTCAGATACATTAAATATCTTTTACAAGGTTACAGTGCTAGGAAGTAGTACAGCAAAAATGCAAAGCCATACATATCCTAATCTTGTTGGTAATTTCACACCTAGGTGCTTTTTATTTCTTCTAAGATTCTACAATTTAAAGATAAAGGCCAGTGGCCTTTTGTAGTCTACAGAGGGAAAAATAACACATTGATTTATATGTTAAAATGTAAATTGAAGACTCAATTACTATAGAATATCACTGTTGGAATAGGAGGCTGTATTATTTTAGATTATTGACAAATAATAATTCATAAATGGCAAGTGATAACAGTAGGAAAACTTGAAAGTGGAGACACATCACATGAACATATTTTAAAATAGATCACATAGAAAGTTTTAAAGAAAATATGGAACTTAATTTTTATTTTAATGAAAAAATAGATTAATGACAATACTGGAGTTTTACTTAATGCTATTGATAGGTTAAAACAAGGATGGGAGTAGTCAATAAGGTAAAAGAACTTCAAATAAAAAAGGCGGCTAACTATTGCAAGAATGGGAATCATCTAGACATCAATACTGATTAAGTAATTTAAAATCTGTGGACATTGATAATCAGTGTATAGCATTTAAGCCACAATTTATTTCTGTATATTAAAGTTATAATTATGTCTTTAAAATTGTATATTTTTTCAGGTTCTTGGGTTGATTGAGCCATGCTAATTTGAATTGCAGTTTTAACTAAAGTTGCCTTTTTTTTTTTTTCAGAGACACTAATCCAGTTGGTTTTACAAAAATATCTTGGGCAGAAAAGACAACTCTATGATATATTTGTTAAATTTATGATATAAAGTTTATTTTGTATCTCTCTGGATAAAGTATTTCCTAGGAACTTTTTGATAAATTTTTATTTTTATAAAGAATTGAGCTAAGATGTTTTTGAAATTATATTAAGTGCTATATAAAATATAAGTAATTTAGTAAATGATTTCCTGAGTTTTTGTTTGTTTTACTTAAAATAGTCATTTTACCAATATTATCATTCCAGTATAGTTGCAGAAGTAGGCATTCACTATGTGCCTGTAAACAAAACCATTGATGGTTATTTGAGTAGGAGGTTCGTAGATATAGGAAATAGATGAGTAGTCTTGAGCAAATGACTTTTTAGGCCTACAAACAGGAAAAGAAAACATATTTATTTTCTGAAATGCTTACTTGAAAACTTATTTGTGCCAACTTTTAAATATACTTTATTTTAATCAGTGTTCATAATTCATTTAACAATAGTCTATTTTATGCTCTTCATGCCAAGTAACTTTTAGAGTGCTTAAAACAGTTTTCTTCTATCCTAAAAGAGTATTGTAAAGAGATAATTCTACACAATAGTAAGTCCAAAGAAAGTGTCTTCAGGTAGTTTTGAATACTCTTTTGTGAAATAATAAAGAGAGAGATTAATTGATTAATTCTGACCCAGGAAAATTGGTAGTAAGGATGTAACTTATCAGCTCTGTCTAATAAACTGAGAATCACATGTGGGCTAGAAGAGAGGATAGAAATCACCTTTGTGGCAAAGTGAATGTTTTGAGGAAAAACACATGAATTTTAAATGTATGGATTAAGTTTTAGGAACGTTAAGAATCATTTGTTTGGCTGGAGTTGGGGAATGTGGTGAGAAATAAGACTGTGATCATAGGCTAAGTCATATTGTGGAAGACTTGGATTTTAAATGCCTTAATTCAGTGATTCTCAACCTTCCTAATGCCACGACCCTTTAATACAGTTCCTCATGTTGTGTTGACCCCCAATTTCATTGTTAGAAATTGAACATAATTAAAGCATAGTGATCAATCACAAAAACAATATATAATTATATGTGTTTTCTGATGGTCTTAGGCGACCCCCATGAAAGGGTGTTTCGACCCCCAAAGGGGTCTGGACCCACAGGTTGAGAACCGCTGCCTTAATTGATCTAGATAGTGTTTATCTCAGTGCCAATAAGTAAAAGTAAAAACTTTCTGGATTCACTTAAAGAAACAAACAAAATTTGAAGTATTTTGTTTGTTTAAAGCAATAAAATAGACCCTTGGAATGAAGGATACCATGGAAAATTCTAAGGAAAGGATATTGAAAATATACGTGATATGACATTACAGTTTAGTATCACTAAATCACGGGGATACATTCTGAGAAATGCATAGTTGGACAATTTTGTCCTTGTGTGACCAACACAGAGCACACTTATAAACATAGATATTGTAACCTACTACACACCTAGGCTTGTATTGTTTATAGCCTATTACTCCTTGGCTATACACCTGTATACCATGTTACTGTACTAAATACTGTAGGCAGTTGTAATACAGTAGTAATTAATATTTGTGTATGTAAACATCAACATAGAAAAGACACAGCGAAAATATAGTATAAAAGATAAAAATGGAATACCTGTGTAGGCACTTACCATGAATGGAGATCCAGAAACAGAAGCTGGTCTGATGGGTCATTGATGAGAGCTGAGTGACTATGAGGGCCTACACTGCTGTAGACTTTACAAAGACTGCCCCTACTTCCTTCTGACAGGGTCAGAAATAGGACATCAAACTTACCAGCAGTGTTCCTTTGACAGGGATGTGGGTTGAATGCTTGGAATATCCAGGAGAGCCTGGCTGAGTGAGGCATAGATCACCGAAATAGTGGCTGTTGGAAGGGAGTGAAAGGTGGTCTGAGGATTACTAGGAATAAGAAATCAAGATGGAGAAATGCAGGAACATGGGGGATTGTCACAGCAGTGGGTTTTTGGATACTGCATGTTGGAACAGTGGTCAGATTAGGAAACTGTGGTATTCATTAACAAAGAGGTTTGCATAAAAGCATAAAAAGAGTTTCACATGGAGAAGGTATAGAACTGATGTAGTATTTTGGCTTTAGAA